CTATAGAAACAAAAAGATGAAATACAATCGTAACACATTAAAAAACCCATCCCCACCCCCAACCCAATGATAGTATCCAGCCAGGGAAACATTGGAGGTGCTTCAGGCTCCAGGGTATTCTAGTGTGTTAGACTCAATTACATGAAGGAAGAATTATCTTTTGACACCATACTGAAGCTAGATCTGCCTGAGTGAGATGCATTATAACAGGCTCTGACTGACCTTCTGAGAAGGTCTGCATCTAAGAATTAAATCTTTAGTTCTCAGCTCAAAGTCAACTTTAGTAAGTGGGGCTATTTATATCAAAAACAAGATTATTTTCCATACTTTTGTTCTTCCTGTAATAAAACTAATGATTACACCTTCATACAAGAATTGTGAAAAGAAACACAGTATCATAGATAAGGAACACATTTGCTGTTTTTATTGGTGCCTTGCATGGCAGTAATACTGAAAAAGGAAAATGCAAAAACAAAAACAAAAACAAAAACCAAAAAAACCAAACCAAAACAAAACAAAATAAACAAAATCGAAAAACAAAAACAAAACAGGTTGGTGGCAACCCACATTTTTTTTTTAAGAGTACATAAACTCCTGTTTTATTTTTATTGTGGCATGAATGATAACATAAAACCAAAAAACATGAAAATATACAACTTATATTACACTATGTGTTATGAACAAAATATAAATCTATAACTCTATGTTATATTTACATAATTATTTATTTTATTAAATTTCAAGTGAGATGGTAGGTTGCACATACTTTGTTTTAAGCTCCAGGCATTTGATTGTCTCTTTTCTATTTTTTTTTCCACTTTTATTTGTAAAATCCAAAAGGGTAGGACTAAGACCTTTAGAGCCGGTGGAGCAACATAAATACTGTTTTAGTGAACCAGTGACAGAAACACTGGGAAGGACGGGAATCAATCAATCAGTAGGAAATTCAACACATCATCTTCAACCTGGGAAACTGATAGTTATAGGAAACTTTAAAATTAAATACTGTGAAAGTCTGACTAAACCAACACCTATGTCCTACGAGACAAAGAAATAGCTGAACCACTTTAAGTGGGCTTCATAGTTTTCCTTGTAGACCCCATAATTTTTATTTTACTATTAACTTGATAGACAAATATTTTATAAACCTGTTTTTCATATACAGTTGTTTATTACAATTCAATAATTCACCCTTTAGAATGAATGAAAGTGTAATTATTTTTGATGTTTTTCATGTGATATAGGAAGTTTCTTCTGGGGAACCATAACAGCTTCTGGATTAAGAAAATATCTGAAATTAGACCATGGAATGGTTAAAGATAATTCTCTTGAAAGGAATTAAGTAAAATTCTACTCCAGAAATCATAACTATAAAATAATTTCACCAAAAAAAAAAAAAAAAAAAAAAAAACAACAACAACAAAAGCCCCACTTGTTTACAATTGTTCCTTATAAGAGGATTTGGTTTCAACAGTGATGATACATTCTTTGGGAGGGATTTTATATATGGTTAATTCTTAACTGCTGATGCCAAATGAACTGTAAAATTGATGTTAACTAATTTAGGTGTAAATGTACTGAAAGATAGTTTTACATTTTATACAAGTGTAGTAACTAATCAAATTATTAGTAACTTACAAAGGAACAACTGCAACTTATTTTATCTAGTGATGCTCTCTGAGATTCGTATTAAAACATGACTCCTTTTAGAGGAAGTGACTGTAGTCCTATAAAAACCAGAATTCTGGCGTGATTCTTCTTCAAAGTGTATGTGGCGGGGAGAGAGAGGAGAGAGCGTGAGAGGGAAAGGGAGAGAGAGAGAGCGAGAAAGAACACAGGAGATTTGAGAGAGAGAGAGGGTTGAAAAGGTAGGTAGGAAAATAGAGAGGTGGAAAACTATTCATATTGATTCTAGTTTGATCTGACTCTTTATTTCCTCTACCTTATCTTTTTTGGTCATCCTGGGGCACAGAAAAAGAACACAAGGTTTTAGGATCCTTTATCCAAATCATAAACGCACCAAATGCCAAAAGGGCAATGCGTCAACATGGTAAGTGGCTATTCACAGTACCTTTTATCAAGTGACTTCAAAGCACTGTAAATATTAATATAATTATTTTTGTTTTTGTTTCTTTTGGGGAAAACTAGGAAAAAAAAGTAGTTTTAACACCCAGTGAATTAAAGGTCAGAATAAGAGACTATTAATGCAGGGCTATGGACTTGCATTTTGACTCAGTTCATTCAAAGAGGCCGTTCTGTCTTGGACAGAGACCTAACGAAATAAAATTACCTTCTGAATTTCAGCATTTGAAGGTCACCACCAACAATTTTGTTTTCCCCTTCAAATAAAACAAAATAAAAACCAAACAGAAAGACCAAACAGAAGTGTTTTGCCAATTCGCTGGTAAGTATGATAGAATTGGTTTCAGCCACGAATGCCCTCGAGGGCATCTACCTGGAGCTAAAACAAAGTATTCTTGTAGCCCAAAGTCATGAAATGAAAACAAAGCATTTTTATAACATGGTGTAAAGTAAGTATCCAGCAAACGTGAGAGGTGAACCCACATAAATCAGAGGGATTTGTTAACAGAGACAGAGACAGTATTTTTTAAAAATCTGTTTTCACATTGTACATAATAATGATATAAAAACAAGTGTATTTTTCTTTCCTTATTCAGAGTGCTTAAAAACAAAACAAACAAACAAAAACAAAACAAAACAAAAATGTAAAAATTGGCTCTAGATGACTGTGGCAATTAAATCACTACAAGAAGTGATGAGAGCACAAGTTATTTAAGATTGAACACAACCCTCCTATTAATTCACTCCTTTGTACTAAAACACCAGAACTGATATTGCTGGGGCCAAAATTCTTAAAAAGGGAAAAAACTTATGGAGGGACAAGTGAAACTGTGTAGGTGAATGTCTGTGTGTGTACGTATGTGCATATATATGTATATCTATGCGTGTATATACATATATAGATATATGAATTGGAGATGGAAATTTGTTTTAAATATCTAACAGCTTATTGGCTGCGCTTCCGAATCAGAGCAGGATAAAATAGAAAGGGAGAAATAAAATAAATTATACATAACTTACTAATCTGGGAACAGCTGACCATTATTATTATTATTATTATTACTATTATTATTATTATTTTATCATCATCATTATTACAACACTAGCAAAAAAAAGAGGCAGTTTAAATGAAAATACAGTCATCAAAAACAAACAGAAAAACAGACATAAACGAAATCTCTGACATGCAAGATATGATCAGCTCCTCCAAGCAAAACCCCAGAGCAAGTCTTTTGAGAGAGAGAAAAATAAAAAAAAAGTTTTGTTCATATTTCCATGTAAAAATCAAACGTTAAGGTGGTGTTTGGGGGTGAGATAGGAAAATGACAACTGGGGTGAAAACCATAGCACATCCAAGCTACTGGATGGAGTACCTACCGTCTGATGCCTTAATACAAACAATGGAAATTGACTTGAAATGATTTTGCATTAATTTGTACAGGCCCTACAACCGCCGTGGTATTTGGCTGGCAAAAATCTCCATTTTTGCAGTCCCATCCCCGTGAGTTGTTGCTCTTGACACATACTCTGTTGGAACCAAAGCTGGGCTACAGTGGATTCATCCATAGCAAAGAAAGGATATTGGCAGAAACACTCCTGGGTTCAACCAGGCTCCATTTTGTTGGGCTGCAGTGACTTTTAATCAAATGCTGCTTTCTATGGCATGAAACGTGACATGGCCCACATTTCTGAAATGCAAAAGGCCTCTATCTCATTTCATGGAGGGATGAAATATACCTCACAAAATCATCAGTTCCATTTCCTGGTCAGAAATCAGGAATGTGGAAGAAATAAGCTTGTTCTTTATTTCAGGAATATGGCCAAATATATTGATTGAAAACCGTGATTATTTTGCTTGAAGTATCAATAGGAAAAACGACAACAACAACAACAACAATAACAACAAAAAAAAAAAACACTAAGTAGCAAACGTTAGTGGAACCAGTTAGCCAGGGAGAAGGGACATCTGGGAACAGTTTGCTAGTAGCTTTCATGTTATACATGCACACCTCTATTACACAGGGCCACCTGATCCATCCAATAATAATCATATTAGACATTTAAAAATATAATTTTTGAGCCCTATACTTGGTTAAATTGTCATTTGAAGTGCAAAGTCAAGGTCAAGATTACTTCTAGACCAGTCACTTAGGAGGATGTGGGATTTCATCCCCAGATGTGGGTTTAACTCACAATGGTCCAACGTTATTCCTATTAGTACCATAATCACACACATACATACACACAAAAATCCAAGATCAGAAAATATTTTTTTCTCTAAATTTCTTATGTCTCTCTCTCTCTCTCTCTCTTTTCACCTGAGAACAGCACCTACAGTTCCATTAAAAAAACAAACAAAAAAAAGGTCAAATCTCACCAGCTGCTGGTATTTCAGGTTTTTCAAGGGATTGTCTAAGATATAACACTGTCCTAACTCAAGAAGGAACAGGAAAAAGGAAAGGGAAAAAATAATGAACTCGGTCAACACTTCAGTACAAATTTGGCACTTGCTCAAAGATGTAGTGTGGTGCACAATAGGTAAAGAAAGTCCTCTAAAGAAAATAATTGCTTATTTTGTGGTGGATAGCAAGGAAGTTAAAAACAGGCTCTTTTTCCCTCTGCCCCCCCACCCCCCATGCACAGACTTCCATCTTGAAAGTACGGAGATGGAGAAGGTGGAGAGAAATCAAGAGAAATTCATCTTTCTTTTTCTGTCAGGTGCATTATAAAAAAAAAAAAAAAAGAAAAAAGGAAAGAAAAAAAAGAAAGAAAAACAAAAGGAGAAAAAAAAAAAATCCCAGAAACCCCAAGAAACAAAACAAAACTTATTTCTTTTTAAAAATTGTAGCACAAAACAATAAAACACATTCACAAGCCACTTGTTGGCACTGTGTACCTGAGTGAGAATTTCTAGAACATTGTAGAACAAACAGCCATAAAGTTTATTAAAAAAAAAAAAGTTGACGGGTAAGACTTCAGTGCTTGGATGTAGCAGCTGAATTACTGGCATTATTTTACCCATAGCTTATTTCAATCTCTTGTTGATATTCTTGTTTGCTTGTTGTATTTTTTTTTTCCTTTCCAAGCCTTTTGAGGCTGAGGTCTATTAGTCAGCTGATGTCCCAACTATTTAAGACTAACAGTTAAAGTAACAGTCAGTGTATGAGAAAGTTAATGTGCTTGGCCACTGGTAAGGATGAACCAGTTAGGGCTTCTTTAAGTCCTAAGGTCACAACAATCTTTTGACCCTTATCAGTTGGCTTGTCCTGCAATATGGTTTTCACTGTCACTCCCATAATCTACATCTGGGTCATCCTCTTCCTCGTCGTACTCATCATAGATTTCTCCGTTGATGTCCTCAGCCTGGATCTCTTCTTTGATATGGGGCTCCTCTCCTTTGACACCATAAGTGCTCTGAATAACGGGCATCCCTGGCTCTGGGCTGCTAGACACGCTTGAGTGCTCTGAGGGCAGGTGAGGGGAGGGCATTCCGGCCATGGCGATGGCTCCAGGGTACACAACACCAGCAGTGGCGATGGGGATCTGTGCTTGTTGCCTGTGAAGAGAAGAATTCCCAAAGGAGAGATTGTGGGTAAGAGAATAGTTAAATCCAAACCTTACTATATAATGAGTTTGCTCAGCAACATCTACCTCGAAGGACATGACTTTCACCCAGTGGTCTAACATTTTGCCAACCGTATCCTACTTTGATTCTACGATCTTGCTTCTGAATAGGACCTCCTAGACCACAAGACATTTACGTGTATTGCCCATTTGATTCTTAAATAATCATGTTTTGTTATTATTCTATTTTATAAAAAAAAACTGAGGCACAGGAGAACCCGAGTGCTTAACTCCAAGTTTACTTTTCCATCACCAGAACATGCAGAAATTGTGTCTTTGTTCCTTAGAATTAAACCTAAAGATCATTTGATTGTAATGGAAAAAACTCTGGAGTATTTATTAGAGCTGTCAAAAACTTTGCTGCCCAGAACCCTGCAGAACCAGACAATATCACACTGCTCACCTAACCTACTCTCTGAAATAGCTCTGACTCTGTGGTGGGAGGAAGCAGAGCCAGCCTCATGGATGTGTAAGCATGAAGGCCCCATTGTTGGTTTAAAGTTGTGCTGTTGGGCTTGATATTCTTAACAAATTTTTAACAAGAGACCCCCATCTTCTCACTTTTGTACGTGGCTCTATAAATAAGGTAGGTGATCTTCGTAGGAAGGAATTAATGGATGAAAATTCAATTGTGCTTGCTTTCATTCATTCGTATGTTTACTGTTTGCTCAAGAAGCCTTGGGTTTTGTGTTCTGTGTTGGGAAGAGTCACACACTTGGATATAAACAAACCACAGACCCATGGACAGAGCCCCCAGCCTCTTTCAAGGAACTGGGAAGGGGTGGGCAGATTTGAAAAGCTTTTTTCTAAGTTATGCTCTGGACCAGATACAAAATGCTATGTATCATTCTAAGAAACTCTTGGGATCTTACTAAGTTCTATTTCAAGGGCGGGCCACTGTATTTCTGTGTTTTGGGGAGAATTCTGAAGAAGCAACACAAGCAAGGTGGCTGCATATGTCACAGCACTGCCCACAGCAACACAAAACATCTCGAGAGCTACATTCCTAATTCAGAAGAATGGCACTTTCCCGTTCACAACCTTGTCGCACCTTACGTGTAACCCCCACGGTGGCCGTGTGATCTGCAACAGCCACCTAGGGGCCTAGATAGCTCAGTATTCCCTCCACATTAAGAAATTACGTGTTTCTTTCTTTTAGCTCATTGTTACGTTGTATGCTCTCACTGCAAATGTTAGTTATACAACTTGTCCTCCTGAAGCTCTGGATGGGATGAAAACCACGGAGGGAAAGCAGTAGCTACCCTCCTAAGTTAGCAAACTGCAAAATTATTTACTTGCAGATATTTTATTTTTAAACTGGTTGTCAACAAAGCTCATGTTCGAGCTGGGAGCTTGTAGATGTTTATGGATATAGTTTTTGAAGACCAAGTGGGTGACCGCTTCATCTCTGAAAATACACTGGGTTCCGGGGTTTTTTCAAAATGCTACTTTACAACTAAACAGGGGTGTTTTGTGCCCCCCTTAAGCAGAACGGAAAGCTTTCCCCATTAAGACAAGAGCTGGCAAGGCCCACCCGACGTTGAAGTACTGCCGCATCTCCTGCCTCCGGTTCCGCATGATGGCCTTGTACTCGCCGATGCGCAGCTTCTTGCCGTCCACGAGGCAGGTGCGCTTGGGCCTGGGCTTGTATTTGTAGTCGGGGTACTTCTCCAGGTGCTGCTTGCTCAGACGGGCTTGCTCCTCGTAGTATGGCTGTTTCTCTAGGTTTGTCATAGCTTTCCAGCGAGAACCTAGAAGGAAAAGAAGGTGAGGATTCCAATTTGCACAGCTCCTAAGCCTCCGAAAAAGAGATAGAACCAATAACAAGGAAGTCCAAAGTAAAAATGTTGGCCCAAACCCAGAAATAAATAAATAATATATAAATACATATATATAACCAGCTTGTTTTTGATTAATGAGCTTTGACTGTGTACCTAAACATTTGCATGCTGGGTATTACAACCATAACTCCCTGTCTCAAATGCAAATATATTTATTACAGCATATATATATATATATATATACACGTATATATATGTTTTTATGGCAAAAAAACAGGAAACAGTGTAGCCAAATTTTTGTTAAGAGTTCATAGATAAATTAATAGATATATTGCTACATTATAGCATGATATAATTCAACTGTGAATGGAAAAGTTATGCAGTAACTCATCACACACACACACACATATCTTTATTTGAGACAGAGTCTCTCTTTGTTGCCCTGGGTAGAGTGCTGTGGCATCACAGTTCACAGTAACCTCAAACTCTTAGGCTTAAGCAATTCTCTTGCTTCAACCTTCCAAGTAGCTGGGACTACAGGTGCCCACCAAAACGTGTGGCTATTTTTTTTTTTAAGAGACCAGGTCTCACTCTTTTTCAGGCTGGTCTCAAACCTGTTAGCTCTGGCAATCCACCAGCCTCAGCCTCCCAAATGATGTAATTACACATGTGAGCCACCATGCTCCACCCTCATTATATATTTTGAATCTGAGACTAATTATCCTGTTGTTGAGTTTTTTTATGTGGGGGGACATTCCTTACCACAAAAGTTCCTGACATGTATCATATATTCTCATTTCCCCCCAAATGTTTAAGTACATTAAGCTTGTAGGAACAATGATAGTTAAAAATTCATTTTGTTAAAAATTTAATTACAATATTAATGACCACAGACAGGTAACCACTATGTGCTAGGTACTGGGCTGTAAACTTTACATATATGGTTTCATTTCCACCTTTCACCACAATGCTGTAAGGTAGACAGAATTTATACTAATAGATAAAGTAACTTACTCAAGGTCACACAATTATTAAATTGCAGGTCTGGGACTTGAACTCAGGCCTGATAGAATTTAAAGTGTGCTGCAGTATATACTGGGTAAGAATTTTCTCCTAATAAATCACTCAGAATAATAAAGACACCACTGTCCAGGGTACAGTATGTATTAACAGTGATAAATAATGATAACCCAAATTGTGTTTCCCTTTCTTTTTATTATGAATTTTGATAATTAAATTGGGATTTACAAAAACAAGTTAGAAGCTTAACTAAAAATAGTTTATGCCAACTCTCATTTTAGACATGGTTTAAAGCTTTGATTCTGGAAGGATGGCTATGCGTAACTGTCACAGAAGTAGTAGTAATAGCGTTCGTTGTTCCAGGCGTCCTCAAACTAGGGCCTGCGGGCCACATGCAGCCCACCTAGGACATTTATTTATCTGGCCTGTTGCGTGTTTTTGCCACCGCTGCCTGTCCTGCTTAGCAGCCGATTTGTCCTGGGGTCCGCAGCCCGGCCCTCCAACGGTCTGAGGGACAGTGCACTGGCCCCCCGTTTAAAAAGTTTGAGGACCTCTGGTTTAGACCGTCATCAAAATCTGTTTGCAGATAAAATGTGTTTATCTGCAAATAATCAGCTCAACTTGACCTAAATGTAAAAAAGACCCAAAACTAGAACTCAGAGTTTCCTGCCAAATGTGCATTGGTATTAGTGTGCTAACCTGCCTTTCAAAGTCATCTAAGCAAGATCTTAGAAGATTTCAAATGGATGCATCAGTCAACCATAACTCCCTGTTTCAAATGCAGACAGCTCACCGTTAAACAATTCTTCCTCATAAATGTAGAGGATGCCTTCAGATGGGCTGTTATATTTATTACAGCATACAGTGAAATTCCCTCAGAATTTTTTCCTGTTATAACAGGTGTTGCATAGGTGGGTATATCCATGTAGGTGTTATAAAGCTTTATAAATATATATATATGTATTTTTCAATACAGACAGTGAATATGAATTTATTCTGTTTATAATAGAAACTCAGGTTACAGTTCAAATAATAAGAGTTTCTTTTCTATTTCTTTTTAAACTTCTGTTTAAATAAGAGTATCTAACATTAGTTTAGATTGTCAACCCGTATCATTTGTAGATAAAAGTCCTTATTTGCCTAACATTACTCTCCAAAGGAACTTAAATACTATTATGCTATTCTCAGGACACACGTAAACAGATAATATTATAGCACTATTGAACTAGATCAGTTCTTTACTTGAAACTTTTCTTTTCTTGATACTCAGATCAGGGAGCGGAAAAATGAACTTGCCAAAAATAATTGGTTGGCAAATAGGAATACATTTGAAATGGACCAAGGATGATCGACTTGACTTAAATATAAAATGTACTGCCTTTAGTCTGAAATTGAAGAAAATAAGCATTCCCAATTAGAATAAGAATTACCAAAGATTCCTCCCTACATGTCGATGTTGTATAAGCACAAAAGGATATGTCTATAATTTAAGGAAAGGAAACATTTATGGCTTGAAGTAATCTGGAATGTGAGGAACGTTTTTATATTTCCTCCTATGTATGTAACGCCATATTAATTACTGAATATGCAGTAGTGAAAATAGAGAATTATGGTTCCTGTCTCCTTGGAGCTTATATTGGAGTTGGGAAAAAATACGCTAAATATCTAATTACAAAATGTGTCATTTTCATTATAATTGTAGCAAGCCTGGGAAGGTAAGAGACCATATGCGGAGGTGAGGGCAATCTCCTGCAGGCCAGGAAGGTACCCCTAGAAATGATTCCTGTGGGGATCAGATGAAGAACCAGCAGAAGAAGGGTCGACGTTGTGCAATGGAAAGGAGAATCAAGAGAAAGTTCAAGAAGGCTGGTACGGCTAAATGCTGAGGAAAAAGCATGTACTTCTGAGTAAGAAAATGGGATAATAAAGGACGTGAAAATTCTCAGAGGAGTCGGTTTCCAAATCTGGCATAAAATCACAGAGTATTTTAACTCCTGATAATATGATTTCTCGGGGACTATCCCCGAACTCTAAACTCCCTTTCAAAATACGGCTGCGTAATACAAATCCTTTTAAAATTAAGATAGCCCAAGTACTAACTGGGGCAAATTAGCTAACGACTCCAGTGTATGACAGGAAAGAACAGTGTTTCACTTCAGTGGCCAACCCGGTTTTCATTTTGTAAATAACTTTGAACGAGGTGAACCAGTTGACAAGTTTGGTTTTAGTTTCAATGGCTTTAGAGGGACAATAACTGTGGGCAGCTGCGGTGTTAACCCCGGAAACCAGCCTGATGAGTGCCATGGGGAAACGTTTCACATAGCACCAAAGAAGATGCAAATGGCTACTCGATTTGGGTGTCACCTAGTGCCTTAGGGTGGACTCATATACAGGGAGCATGGCCCCTGTTGTTTTCAAAAGGTGGACCTTTTAGATTGAAAACGAGAGAAGAACAACTGGGTATTCCCCCTGATGACAAAAGAGGAAGTTTCAATTTAAAATACTGGATGCTCAAAATAGAAAAAGAAAAAATTGAAAAAAAAAAAAAGGTCTTAAAAGTGTGTTTTTTTTTTTCCTTTCTAAATCTGGCAACACACTGAAAGTGAAGAGTTTGAGCAACATTGTCATCTCCACGGGGTCTGTAATGAATTTGCACATTTTACCCCGACTACTGTATATGTAATCAGAAAAAGATGTCTCCCATCCCCTGATCTAGCGCCAAGCAGTAAAAGGTGATTCCTTATGTTAACAATTTCAGCAGAATGGCTTATTAAAACCAGATTTTAGGGTATTATAAAATGCTTAGAAGCCCTTTAAAATGTCAACTAGGATCCCCAGAGACTACGTAAAATGTCAACCCAGCTCAAGCGCCTGTTTTAAGCAGAATGAATTAGCGGCATGCTGTCGGAGGCTGTTATCCAAAATAATCAGCAAGGAAGAAAACATCAGGCTTTCTTTGTACTTTTATATGAAATGGGCCATTCAGAAGGATCTTGTGGATATTTGAAGATCACTTATTTATTTAAAGCTATGACTAAATATTGAGGTGCAAAACATTGTAGTGTTTTATTTTTTCCTAAACGCTCTGATCTTTAATTAATACAATTTCATCAAAAAGACTGAAATTAGGCAGCATTCTCTTTCATGTCGCTTGGATGACATAATCAGACAGTCATTCTAATATTCTCTCCTTCAAACAAGTCAGCGATTTTCTCAGTCATCTCTTTTCCACGCACATTTTCCCTGTATTTCCTCCAATAGCTTTTCATGTCATCAAAACTGGTATTTCTCTTATAGGTAGGCTATTCTGGAGAAAGTTTTATACAGTGATTATCATGGTAGTCTTCAGACACGTGTATTCAGTGATAAAAAGATATAGCTTAAAAATCTTAATATTTAGCTTTTTTTTTTT